TACGCATTCTGTTTTTTCTGCCTGCAGTGCTATGTTCACCTTCTACCTATTCGTCTAAATCAGTTCAAATGGCTTATTTTCCTTTGGATTTCCTGTTATTTATTCTCCCTCACATAACTTGTTCTCTGAGCTGCTCTATGGCACTTGTCACTTCATGTTGTAATTACTATGTTTTATCTCCCCTGTTAGCTTTTAATCTTCTTGATTTCAGCATCTATGTATTTTTTTCTGTCCCTATGCCTTGTGCAATGCGTGCTTTCAGATATTTTTCTTTATTAAATTTCTCTTCAATAAATATTTTTTCAATAAGTGAATTTTACTGTTACTCATACACCATTAACCACAATATTTTTTTATATGTGGCTTTTTAGTGTGCCATTTTCATTTCCATATGGTTCAGTAGTTCATTCTATTAATGTACTGTGTGTGTGTGTGTGTGTGTGTGTGTAGAGAACTGGTGAAAATGTTTATGGTCTGGGGGGATTTTTTGGAGACAATTTATAAGGTTAGTTTAAGGTACTTCAATTTGACCCATTTCAGAGAATCTAAAATCCCCAGTAGGGGACATGCAGGAGGCAGCCGGTAAATGATTCTCTCTCATCATTGATGTTCCTCTTTCTCTCTCTCCCCCCCCTCCTCTCTGAAATCAATCTCTCTCTCTCTCTCTCTCTCTCTCTCTCTCTCTCTCTCTCTCTCTCTCGGCCCAGTGCACAAAAATTTGTGCACTCGGGGGAAAGGGGGGCGTCCCTCAGCCTGGCCTGTGCCCTCTCACAGTCTGGGACCCCTCGGGAGATAACGACCTGCTGGCTTAGGCCTGCTCCCGGGTGGCAGAGGGCAGGCCCAATCCCTAGGTGCAGCCCCTGGTCGGGCTCAGAGCAGGGCCGATTGGGGAGTTGGGGCGCCTTCCCCTGTCATGCACAGAGCAGGGCGGATTGGGAGATTGCGATGCCACCCTCAGTCACGCTCATGGTAGGGCCGATTGGGGGGTTGGGGCACCGCCCCCTGTCACACTCAAGGCAGGGTTGATGGGGAGGTTGGGGCGCCACCCCCTGTCACACAGCAGGGCCCATCAGGGGGGTTGAGGCTCCGTACCCTGTCATGCACAGAGCAGGGCCCATCGGGGTTGGGGAGCTCCCCCCTGTCACGCACAGAGGAGGGTCAATCAGGGGGTTGAGGAGCTCCCCCCTGTCACTCACAGAGTAGGGCCGATAGGGGAGTTGGGGCACCACCCCCTGTCACACACAGAGCAGGGCGGATCAGGGGGTTGGGGCGCCACCCTCTATCACCCACAGAGCAGGGCCAATCGGGGTTGGGGCGCCGCCACTGTCACACTCAGGGCAGGGCCGATGAGGAGGTTATGGCTCTACCCCATCACACACAGAGCAGGGCCTGTGGGGGGGAGGGGGGGTGTTGGGGCACCGCCCTCTATCACCCACAGAGCAGGGCCAATCGGGGGGTTGGAGCACCGCCACTCTCACACTCAGGGCAGGGCCGATGGGGAGGTTATGGCTCTACCCCGTCACACACAGAGCAGGGCCCGTGGCGGGCGGGGGGAGGGGGTTGGGGTGCCGCACCCTGTCACACACAGAGCAGGGCCGATCAGGGGGTTTGGGTGCTGCCCCCTGTCACACTGATCCCAGTGCCGGGAGGCCTCGCGGCTCCGCTGATCCCGGTGCTGGGAGGCATATTACCCTTTTACTATATAGAATAGAGGCCTGGTGCATGGGTGGGGCTGGCTGGTTTGCCCTGAAGGGTGTCCTGGATCAGGGTGGGGGTCCCCACTGGGGTGCCTGGCCAGCCTGGGTGAAGGGATGATGGCTGTTTGTAGCTGGTCACACACCCTTCAGGGTGGGGGTCCCCACTGGGGTGCCTGGCCAGGGTGAGGGGCTGAGGGCTGTTTTCAGGCTGGCGGGTGACGGAAGCTCCCAACCGCTCCTTTTTTCCTTTTTTTTTTTTTTTATTCTGGGCCAGCTTTAGCTTGAGGCTTGGCTCCAGCTCCTAGGCCTCCGCTGCTGCAAGTAGGTTTCTGGCCTTTGCTTACAATGTTGCGATTCTGCTGGCTGAAGTCTGGCGGTATTTGTTACAATGTTTCTTAAACGGCTGGCTCAGAGGCCTGCAGCTGCAGGCTGGGAAGGTTGGTTTCCTCCGTCACTGAAGCAAGCAAGCCTCATGTTAGTTTCAAGCTGCCTGGCTGCCCGTCGCCGTCTTGGCTGACAGTTAATTTACATATCTCGCTGATTAGCCAATGAAAAGTGTAGCGGTCGTACGCCAATTACCATGTTTCTCTTTTATTAGTGTAGATATTTTTTTTTAATGAAGGTAAGTTCTTGTTGGAGCATCATCCTGTACACCAAACAGTCTGGGTTTGATTCCTGGTCAAGGTACATACCCACATTGCAGGTTCAATCCCCAGTCCGAGTGGGTGTGGGAGGCAACCAATTGATGTTTCTCTCTCTCTCTCTCTCTCTCTCTCTCTCAAAATATAAATTAAAATTTTAATTAATTAAAAAAATATATCCTCAGGTGAGGATTTAAAAAATTTTTTAAAATAAAATAATGCAAAATAAAAAATCAAGGCCTGGAGTGGGGTGAGGGTAGGGTGGAAGGGTCAAAAAGGGAGAAAATGAGAGACATCTGTAATACTTTCAACAATAAAATAAAAATTTAAAAAATAATAAAATTAAAAATTAGGGGAAAGGGATTACATGTAGGTACAGTGGGGCCTTGACTTACGAGTTTAATTCGTTCCGTGATGGAGCTCATAACTCAAATTACTCGTATGTCAAATCAATTTTCACCATTACAATGAATTGAATGCTGGGCTGATGTTGCGTTCACTGTGACGTTCGCTGCGCCAACTAGCCGTGGGGTATCTGAAGCTGGCTCGTAACACGAATTTTAGCTCGCAACTCAAAGCAAAAAATCGGCCGAGAGATGGCTCGTATCTCGAAAAACTTGTTAGTCGGGACACTCATAAGTCAAGGCCCCACTGTATATATTTATGATATAAAATTTGCATAAAAGGTTTTGTTTTAAGTTTAAACAGTACGGTTCCCTCCACCCTTAACTCCCTGCTCCCTCGTTTTCCTCCCAGGAACAAACATTTTACTCCAAGTATTGCTGAGACTTCCCAGGGCCCCTTGCTGTCTAATCCTGACTATTCACTCGGCTCCTCTAGTTTGTGTGTCATGTTCTCTGGGAGGTAGAGAGGGAGGACATTTGAGTCCTGGAACCCATTGCCTGAGTTTGAATCCTTTGCTCTGCCACTCACTAGCAATGACCTTGGGTAAATTAACTCTCTGTGCTGACTCAGTTTCTTCATATGTAAGATTCATTGAGTAGTCCCTTTCTCATTCAGTTGTACTGAGAATTAGTGAAATATTGCTTGTCACATAGGAAGCTCTATATAATGTTAGCTATTTTTATTACATTATCAGTCACTCAGCTGTCTGCTGCTCAAGCTATTGCCAATGCCCAGATAGCTAACCCCACAGTCTAATCACTCACTTGCTTATCCCTTGGACTCTCTGGCTAGGAAGGAAACTTCAGTCTCTGTTTAGGTCTGCTTTTTTAGAGGAGGTTCTCCCAGCCCCCCAGTGGTGCCCTCTATACCATAGCTGCCTTCTCCCTAAAGCACCAGGGTTCTCTGAACAGTGGGGTGGAGAAGGTGGTCAAGCACAGCCTCCCACCTTTCTGGAGCCACAGCATTCTTGAATGCCCTGGTGCTCACACTAGACTTCTCTGCCAGAATTCTTTTGCATGTTCTTCCTTATGCATGATTTTTCCCTGAGACTAGTGCACCCATCCGGCATTCTACTTCCGTCAGGACTCTCCATATTTATTGTCTGAATCCAGTTAAGATCAGGGTTTAGGTTCTTTCCCATGAGACTCCCAGGCCTCATGTAAATCAGGGGATGTGGCTTGACATCTATTTTAAGGGCTCCTGACCTTACTGTGACTGATAAGTTTCCCAAACATTGTATGGTAGTTAGGGCACCAGTGGACCCCTACGCACACCGAGGACCCCTACGGAGCAGACACCTCTAGCCCAGCCAGGACACACTGTTACGTTATTAATATTTATAGCTAACATTTGAAGAGCATTTCAGTTACACAGTGCTTTTCACCTAACTTCTCTTAGCTCTGAGGCAAGGGTCAATATCCCATTCCCATTTGTCCGGTGAAGAAAACTGAGGACTAAAAACATTGTGGTTGCATAGATAAAAGAGGACAGGCCTGCCTTCTCCTGTGTCACTCATACCAGGCTACCTTCTTACCAGACGAAGAAAAGCCATAAATGTTTATGGTTTCAGTAGAGTTGATACCGATTGTCATATTAGGAGGATTTAGTGTTAGTGTTTGGGGTGAAATTAATAGAAAATTGTTGACCAGTATGCTGTACAGCTGAAACTATTACAAAATCACACACACGCATACACGCACACACGCACGCACGCACGCACGAATGAGAGAGAAGAAGGGATAGAGAGAAATATCAATTTGTTGCTGCACTTATTTATGATTCATTAGTTGATTCTTGTATGCCCTGACTGGGGAATCCAACTGGCAACCTTGGTGTATCAGGACGACACTAACCAACTGAGCTACTCAGCCAGGGCGATATAAAATAATATGTAGTATAAACTGTAATTAAAAATAAAAGAAAATTGTTGCCCTAGCTGGGTGGCTCAGTTGGTTGGAGCATTATCCAATACACCAAAAGGTTGCTGGTTTAGTTCCAGGTCAGAGCACATACCTAGGTTATGGGTTCCATCCCTGGTTTGGGTGTGTTTGGGAGGCAAGTGATCGATGTTTCTTTCTCACATTGATATTTGTCTCTCCCTCCTTTCCTCCCTTTCTAAAATCAATATCCTCAATAAGGATTAAAATAAATAAAATTATTGAATAATTTTACTTAAATGTAGGTCTCCTTGTACTCAGGCTTATGTGAACTGTAGCCAATTTTGTAATTAAAATCTTTATATTCTCCTTTTTCTTAGAGCCACAATGGACACAGCTAGCCATAGCCTTGTCCTTCTGCAGCAGCTGAACATGCAACGAGAATTTGGTTTTCTGTGTGATTGCACAGTTGCTATTGGAGATGTTTACTTCAAAGCCCACAGAGCAGTGCTTGCTGCTTTTTCTAACTATTTCAAGATGATATTTATTCACCAAACAAGGTAAGGATGTGCTTTTGCAAATTTGAAGAGTTTTAATACTGTGGTATGTCTAAACCTTATTATAACATCATTTGGGGGAGTCTTGTTATGGGGTCACATAAGAAAAAAATTTTGTTATATATTTTTTATATATCAGTAATTAAATGCAGTGTGAAGGATTCATATTGGAAGATAAGAATAAAAACAATAATAGCTCAAATTTATTGAAGGGTTATTTTATACAAGCACTAAGTATTTACCTGATGTAAATTATACTATTGTCCATACTATTTTAGAGAAAGGAAATCAAGGCTCAGTTGTTAAGTAACTTGCCCATCCAGGATTATACAGCTACTAAGGCTAATAAGTTAGACTCAAACGTAGATCTGTGCTGTTAAAGGTCTGTGCTCTTAATCACTAAGTTGTTGATTTATATTCCATAACACTTTCATATCAAGGTTTCGATGTCATAATTCTACTCACCTTATATTCCATATTACAGTTCAAAGGTCATTTGTTTCAAATATTTTTTCTAAAAGCTTTTTTGAATTTAGCTTACCCCAATAGAATAGGTATGTAGGCAGAGGGCTGGGAAGTGGTATTCACATTCTGAGGTCTTGGTAAAGAATAGCTTTATTCTATCCTACGTTGAAAGTGATAGAACAGTCTATGATTTTTTAAAAAGTCCTTACACGAAATACTTAGGATTCCAGCCTCAATTATACATTTTTAATTTTATTTATTTGTTTTTTGAAAGTTAATTTTCTCATTTTTTTAAATCCTCACCTGAGGATGTGTGTTGTTTTTTAAATTGATTTTTAGAGAGAGAGATAGAAAGAGAGAGAGAAGCATCAATGTAAGAGAGAAACATCAATCAGTTGCTTCCCGTTCGTGCCCCGATCTGGAATCAAACCCACAACCTATTGGTGTATGGGATGATGCTCCAAGCAACTGAGCTACCCGGCCAGAGTTCAATTATACATTTATTTAAAGTGTTCATTCATTCAACTATTGATTGAGCACTTACATGTTAGGCACTGTACCAGACCCCAGCAACAATATCAGTTATACTCCCTGCCCTTGAGAAATTTATAGTCTAACTAGAGGCCCGGTACATGAAATTCATGCAAGGGGGTGGGGGGGAGGGGGAAGGAGTCCCTCAGCCTGGCCTGCACCCTCTCTAATCCGGGACCCCTCAGGGGAGGTCCGCTGGCTCCTAACTGCTCCCCTGCCAGCCTGATTGCCCCTAACCACCTCTGCGTCAGCCCACACCACCATGGCTTTATCCAGAAGGATGACTAGAAGATGTCCCGTTGACCTGGTCTAATTAGCATATTACCCTTTTATTAGTATAGATAGAAGAGTAATGAATGTAAAGAAAATAATTGCTGTGTAATTGCTCTCTGTACCTCAGTTTCCTTCTCTGTAAAAACACTAGAATAACGTACCTACCCATGGTGTTGATAAAATAAATGGACTAATAAAATTAAAATGGTTAGAAAAGGAGCTTTGCACTGTTAGTGTTATTAATAATTATGTAATAAGTCTATAATAGAAGTGTTGCACAAGGTAAAGTGGAGTGTCAGCAGCCCTATTTTGAGAAGATTGGAACAGGTTTTACTGGTACAGAGGCCCTAGATTTTAAAGGATCAGGAGTTGTTTTACAGATATTGTAGAAGAATGCAAGAATGTTTATTGAAGGTAGAGGAAAACATGCATGAAAAATGCAGATATGAACCAGTCTAGATCAGAATGATTGGAACGTATGGCACAAAGTGGCGAGGAGGTTAGAGTTGGGGACAAGTAATGGGTAGCCTTTTCTGCCATGCCAAAGAGTTTCCTCTCTGTGTCAATGCAGAAACTAGATTAGAAACACTACCTTCATATCAGTCTAATTTGAGAGCTATGGGTTGGCTCACCTCTTTTTTTTTTTTTTTTTTTTTTTTTTTTTTAAATATATTTTATTGATTTTTTACAGAGAGGAAGGGAGAGAGATAGAGAGTTAGAAACATCGATGAGAGAGAAACATTGATCAGCTGCCTCCTGCACACCTCCCACTGGGGACGTGCCCGCAACCAAGGTACATGCCCTTGACCGGAATCGAACCTGGGACCCTTCAGTCCACAGGCCGACGCTCCATCCACTGAGCCAAACCGGTTTCGGCATCTCTTGTACCTGTTGTGTACCAGGTACCTTGCTAAAGTAAATCCAGGAGATACAAAGGTGGCAGCCTGCTGTGTGTTATCTCTTGAGCAGTGAGAATCTTCAGCTAACAGAGCTCTGTGCTGATATAGAAAACACCTGCCACAGACTGTGAAGTGAGTCAAAGCTAAGAGTGAAGCCCAGAGGGAATCCCAACATCTCAGGACTAAAGAAATGGATTGTCAGCATACTGACACCAGTGCTTTCTGATGCACTCACACAGACTTTTGCTTCAGGGGAGTCCATGGACTGATTCCATTGTTCCTTGACATCCAACACTTCCGTCAGGTTGTCTTTATCCTAATTTTTCAGGGTGTTTCCTGATTCCTTGTTACACGGTTATTTCCATCTGTTATCTGAATTCTAGATTCATATGTAAAAAATTGGCTTGGGACTTATTTTAAAGCTTTTCAAAGTTATCCCTGTATTCACTTGTGATTTAAAGAGTAGATATATTAATATAGTTTGGAAGACAAAATAAGGTTAGCATAACTTAAATTCTAAATATTACCAATTTCAATGTACTCTTTAAATTTTTAAAAATATTTTCATTGTGATAAAATATATATAACATAAAATTTGTCATTTAACCAGTTTTAATTGTACAATTCAGTGGCATTAATTACATTCCCAATGTTGTGCAACCATCACCACTGTTTATTTCTAAGGCCTTTCGTCACCCCAGAAACTATATCTTTTATTTATTTATTTTTTTATTTCTTAAAGTATTACAAAGAGTATTACACATGTCTCCTTTTTTCCCCCCTTGACATTCCCCCTGCCTCCCCCACCCCCCAGTGTCTTGTGTCCATTGGTTATTCTCATATGCATGCATACAAGTCCTTCAGTTGATCTCCTACCCCCCACCAACCCTCCCCAGGGTTCCCACTGTAGTTTGACAGTCTGCTCAATGCTGCTCTGCCTCTGTATCCATTTTTGTTCATCAGTCTATAATGGTCCTTATTATCCATAAATGAGTGAGTTCATGTGGTATTTTTCTCAGCTTCCCAGGGGCCGTCTCAGTCTCACAGGGGCCATCTCAGCCTCACAGGGGCCATCCCAGCCTCACAGGGGCCGTCCCAGCCTCACAGGGGCCGTTTCAGCCTCACAGGGCCCATCTCAACCTCACAGGGGCCGTTTCAACCTCACCGAGGCCGTTTCAACCTCACCGGGGCCGTCTCAGCCTCACCAGGGCCATCCCAGCCTCACGGGGGCCGCCTCGGCCCTACGGGGGCCATCTCAGCCTCACAGGGGCCGTCTCAGCAACACGAAGTTTGGCATTCTGTCCTTTTTTGGGTGGCTCCTTGCTAGACAAAATCTCCAGGCGTTCCTGGTGGCTGAATATCTGGTATGCTTGCTTGGATTTCGTTTTCTACCAAGTGCACAGACTGCCCGTCTGCCGTCTCCCAGCGTCCCATGTGAGACTGGATCTGGTGGACCTGCCTGTGCGTTTGCTGGTACAGCGGTTCCACGTTGCCGGCCCAGTCGGATCCGGCTCCGGCTTCCTCCGAACCTGATTCTGCTTCTTGAGTGTGTCCCTTATGTGTGCGAGGAGTTGAAATCTGCATTCTGCTGGGCTGGGCTGCAAAAGCACCGGTGGTTCCCTTTGTGCCACTGGCACAGCTTGGGTGGGGATGTAAATTGAGTAGGGCAGGGTCCCCGGGAATCACCAGGGCAGAGCAAGGGGCAATGGTGTCTCTGTGACTCCTTGCCTCTCCATGACTCCGTGTCTCGTGTCCCCGAGTGCCCGCGAGCAGCTCCGCAAGACAGCCACTCTCACTCTCCGGCCCCTTGCAAGGCTGTCCTGCCTCTCCCGTAGGTGTCTGGGACCTCAGGATCCCACCCTAAACAAGCTCAGTGGATTTGAGAGTCTGCATCCCCTTCCAATTGAAAAAAACCTCGCATCCAGTTGCAGCCCACCTGACTCGCGACTCCACACCTCTGTTCTTGGTGAATCACCAGGGCGGGGCAAAGGGCAATGGCATCTCCGCGACTCCTCGCCTCTCCGCAACTCCATGTCCCCGCGTCCCGAGCCGAGCGCCAGCGGGCAGCTCCGCGAGCAAGCCACCCTCACTCTCCGGCCCATTGCAAGGCTGTCCCGTCTCTCCCCGTAGGGGTCTAGGACCTCAGAATCCCGCCCCAAACATGCTTAGTGGACTCAAGAGTCTGCAGCCCCTTCTGATCGAAAAAAACCGTGCATCCAGTTGCAGCCCACCTGGTGTGCGACTCCATACCTCTGTTCTTGGAGCCTCTGCACAACCTACTCAGTTTCAATGCTCTTCTTTCTTTCCTTCTAGTTGTAGAGCTTCCACTGGGCCAGCTTTCCCATGGTTCTGAATGATAGCTGTTTGTCTTATAGTTGGTAGTCTCGATGTTGTTGTGGGAGGCAGCACACACAGGTCTGTACCTTACGCCACCATCTTGGTTCTCGAGAAATAATCTTACTTGAAAAAAATAAAAGAGGATATGAAAATGTCCAATCAAAAGATGATAAGCATCTGAAGAGACATGGTTTGTGATTCTAGAAATGAAAAACGCTAATTAATTAAGCCCATACTTCCCACTTCAGAAACTATATCTTTTAAGTAACCATTTCTCACCACCACTCCCACAGCCTCCTGGTAACCTCTAAACTACTTTCTGTCTCTATGAATTTGCCTATTCTAGATATTTCTTATAAGTGGCATCATACAAAACTTGTCCTCTGGTATCTGGATAATTTCACTTACCATATTTTCAAGGTTCATCCATGTTGTAGCATGTATTAGAACTTCATTCCATTTCATGACTGAGTAATATTCTATTGTATCTGTGTGCCACATTGTGTTAATCCATTCATCTGTTGATGGACCAACTCTTGGGTTGTTTCTACCTTTTGGGTAATGTGAATAATGCTGTACTGAACATGGGTATTTATTTGAGTCCCTATTTTTGGTTATATACTCAATAGATTTTTTAAGTTCTTCAAGAGCAGGATACCTGTTTTCTTTGTAATTTTTCTACTCCCTGGCAGCTAGTATCACTTAGGAATCACTACATAAACATTGAACTAATCAGGATATCTGTCTCTTTCATAACTTTCGGTAGTAGATTAGAGACATGAAGACTGGTTGCTCGGCCATAAAACTGGTATCCAATGAAAGTTTAAACTTTTGTTGCTGTGTTTCATCAAGGCAAATTGCTAAGTTTGAACTTCTTAGGAAAAAATTGCTTTAGCCTAAGACTATATACTGTTAACTAAAAGAGTAACTAGGTTGTTTCATTTTGTGTGGGTCTGTTTTTTATTTTTAACAGTGAATGCATAAAAATACAACCAACTGACATCCAGCCTGACATATTCAGCTATTTGTTGCACATTATGTACACGGGGAAAGGACCAAAACAGATTGTGGATCATAGTCGTTTGGAGGAAGGGATTCGCTTTCTTCATGCCGACTACCTTTCTCACATTGCAACTGAAATGAATCAAGTGTTCTCACCAGAGACTGTGCAGTCCTCAAATTTATATGGCATTCAAATCTCAACCACCCAAAAAACAGCTGTCAAAGAAGGGCTGGAGGTCAAAGAAACGCCTTCCAATAACAATGGAAACAGAGCTGCTGTCCAGGGTGACCACCCCCAGTTGCAGCTTTCTCTTGCTATTGGGCTGGATGATGGCACTGACCAGCAGAAGGTCCATCCTGCAGCCCAGGCCTTGGAGGAACACCAGAAGCCTCCAGTGTCCATCAAGCAGGAGAGATGTGACTCAGAATCTGTGATCTCCCAGAGCCACTCCTCATCCTCATCCGAGATGACAGGCCCCACGTTCACCGAAAGTAGCATCAAAATTCACTTATGCCATTACTGTGGAGAACGTTTTGATTCTCGTGGTAACCTAAGACAACATCTCCATACCCATGTGTCTGGATCTCTCCCATTTGGCGTCCCTGCTTCCATTCTGGAAAGTAATGACCTTGGTGAAGTGCACCCACTTAATGAAAATAGCGAAGCTCTTGAATGCCGCAGGCTCAGCTCCTTCATTGTCAAGGAAAATGAGCAACAGCCTGACCACTCAAACCGGGGTACCACAGAGCCTTTGCAGATCAGTCAAGTGTCTTTGATCTCCAAAGACACAGAGCCAGTAGAATTAAACTGTAATTTTTCTTTTTCAAGGAAAAGAAAAATCAGTTGTACCATCTGTGGTCATAAATTTCTCCGAAAGAGCCAATTGCTGGAACACATGTATACACACAAAGGTAAATCTTACAGATATAACCGATGCCAAAGGTTTGGTAACGCATTAACCCAGAGATTTCAGCCATATTGTGAAAGCTGGTCTGATGTCCCCCTGAAAAGTTCTCGCTTGTCGCAAGAACAATTAGACTCATCTTGTGCCTTAGAGTCAGAGCTCACACAAGAAAATGTGGACACTATCCTAGTTGAGTAGCAGTTTCTTCAGAATTTTTATATCAGTTCTGACAATTCACATGCATTTTTTTATTCATAAATTATTTTCCTCCTCAAGTTCTGTTAACTTTTCTTCTTTACTATTTATTGATAGTTTTAACATTGTAATATATTAATTCATGGTTTTTAAAATAACCTTCAATGAGGGCTGTGAATGTCTTATAAATTAATTCACAATTTGGAAATCAAAAATCAATGTAGTAATATGGGACTTTAGAAATAAAGAGTTATTTATAGAATTTCTAAGTTTTTCCAGGTTGTAGAATCAGTAAAATCAAATTAATATGAAGTAAATGAAATATTTTTTACAGAATACTCTACACTGGCACTTTTGGCTAATGTTTCACATGAATAAACCCCTAAAGAATTATTTTTAAATATTTTCTGCCATATAGAAAATTAATAGTTATTTTAATGCATAACAGTTATAATGTATAAAATGTGTTTTAAGCATAGCTATACCAAATCATGAGTAGTTTTTAAATTATGTTTTACTTACTAGCTCTGCAACATTTTACATGGCTTTTATTTACCTTTTAACATTGTGAGCATACCTCATTCTTAATAGAAAATATTTTAGTTAAAAAGAGAGAAAAGGAGCAGGGTCAGACATAAAAAATCCTAAAGAGTAACAGGTACATACACAGAGATGACCATATGAGACAGAGATTCAGATAGATCTGCATTGACTAACACCCCAGTGTTATTACCTTAATCCAATGTTTTCTTATTTTTTTAAAATATATTTTTTATTGCCGAAACCGGTTTGGCTCAGTGGATAGAGCGTCGGCCTGCGGACTGAAGGGTCCCGGGTTCGATTCCGGTCAAGGGCATGTACCTGGGTTGTGGGCACTTCCCCAGTGGGGGATGTGCAGGAGGCAGCTGATCGATGTTTCTCTCTCATCGATGTTTCTAACTCTCTATCTCTCTCTCTTCCTCTCTGTAAAAAATCAATAAAATATATTTTAAAATATATATATATATATATATATATTTTTATTGATTTCAGAAAAGAAGGGAAAGCAAGAGGTAGAAACATCAATGATGAGAGAGAATCATTGATCGGCTGCCTCCCACATGCCCTCTACTGGAAATCGAACCCACAACCCGGGTATGCCTGACCAGGTAGCAACCATGACCTTTGAGGACATTTTCTGACAGCATCAGAGTTCAGTCAGGAGGGACCTCAAAGAATAATCCACCTCATTCTAAGGGTGTAAAGGTTTTCTCTGGGTAAATTGAGGTTAGCTGAATTATGAAGTGGTAAATTTTTCTTGAGGGTTGAATGAAGAAAACCATTGGGCATTGTCTAAAGGAGTCAAGTTTCTACCTTAGACAAGTGAGTAAAGCTTCCTGGGGTCAAGACTGATATGTGCTGAGAGCAAAATCTATCTATGGATATAGGATCAATTGTATTGTGAGTAGTTAAAGTAAATGTGTTGCCCTTTGGGGTCAGAACTTTAATCTTTTATTTATTTTTTTATTGATTTCAGAGAGGAATGGAAAGGGAAAGAGAAAGAGAAACATCAATGATGAGAGAGAGTCATTGATCAGCTGCCTCCTGCACACCCCACACTGGGGATTGAGCTGACAACCCAGGCATGTGCCTTGACCAGGAATGAAACCATTACCTCCTGGTTCATAGGTTGACACTCAACCACTGAGCCTCGAAGGCTGGGCCTTTATCAAATGTTAAATTTAAATCACTTAAGTAATTATTCTAACTCATACTGTTCTCAAACATTTCATCTCATAGGATGAACACAAATATTAACATTGATTTTCATGTACAGTGGGGCCTTGACTTATGAGTGTCCCGACTAACGAGTTTTTCGAGATACGAGCCGTCTCTTAGCCGATTTTTTGCTTTGAGTTGCGAGCTAAAATTCGGGTTACGAGCCAGCTTCAGATACCCCACCGCTAGTTGGCACAGCGAACGTCACAGTGAACATCACAACATCAGCCCAGCATCACGTGTCTCACTCGTTCACTTTAAGCGGTTAGCTCTTAGTAGAAGCATCAGTGTTGTGCTCGCATTTGTGCTTGCAGTTATTTTGCAAAACTTCGTTTTTTCAGCCATGGATCTGAAGAAAGTAAGTGCGAAGGACAGTGCTGAGAAGAAGAAGCGGATGATGTGCATTGAATTAAAGAAAGAAATTATCAAAAAACATGACCAAGGTGTGCGTGTGATCGACTTGGCGAAGCAGTACGAGCGTAGCACTTCTACAATCTGCACCATACTGAAGCAGAAGGAGTTGATACAGGCTACAACTCCAGCCAAGGGCGTTAAAATAATTTCTAAACAGCGGACATCTATCCATGAAAATATGGAGAAGCTGCTAATGGTGTGGTTAACGGAGAAGCAGCTCGCAGGAGATACCGTGACGAAGGCTATAATCTGCGAGAAGGCACGAGCTATTTACGCTGATTTGCTGCAGCAGACCCCAGGCACTTCAGTGGATGAGGCATCGGGCGAGCCGTTTAAAGCCAGTCGGGGCTGGTTCGAAAATTTTAAAAAGAGGACCGGCATTCACTCCGCTGTCAGACATGGTGAGGCAGCGAGCACGGATATAAAGGGAGGTGACATCAACGAGCTCATCGAGGAGCACCCCGAGGAACTGACAACGCAGGGGCTAAAGGAGCTACAGACGCAGCAGCACACGGAGGCTTTGCAGGAAATAGATGACACAGAGGAGGAGGAGGAGATTATCTCTGTAAGTGAGATAAAGGAAATGTTGGGAATGTGGGAGAAACTTTCAGATTTTATTCAAAAGAAACACCTAGAAAAAATTGCAACTGGGTGTGCGATGGAGCTATTTAATGACACTTGCCTAACTCATTTCAGAAATATTCTGAAAGGGAGGATGAAACAGATCTCATTGGACAGGTTTTTATCGAAAACTCCTGTAGATGAAAGTGATGAAAGCATGGCGAAAAGGGCAAAAATCAGCAAATAAGATTCAGTTATTCAGTTATTCAGTTCAGCCTTTCTCCTCCAACTCCATCAGCATCTTTAAGTCGTTTGATCTCCAAGGTAAATGCTATACATTAAACTTAATAAAACAAGTTTATTGCACTACATTCTATTGTTCAGTATTGTGTTTTTATTCAATACAGTGGGGCCTTGACTTACGAGTGTAATTTGTTCCGAGACCGAGCTCGTTAACTCAAATTACTCTATCAACTCAATGCAAAAAATCGGCGGAGAGACAGCTGGTATCTCAAAAAACTCGTTAGTTGGGACACTCATAAGTCAAGGCCCCACTGTATTCGTTATTTTTTTTTTAAATATGTTTTATTGATTTTCTACAGAGAGGAAGGGAGAGGGATAGAAAGTTAGAAACATCGATGAGAGAGAAACACCGATCAGCCGCCCTCTGCACGCCCACCACTGGGGATGTGCCCACAACCAAGGTACATGCCCTCAACCAGAATCGAACCCAGGCCCCTTGAGTCCGCAGGCCGACGCTCTATCCACTGAGCCAAACCGGTTCTGGCTGTATTCATTATTTTTAAATACATTTTTCTTTTTTTTTTTTTTTTTTTTTTTTTTTTTTTTTTTTAATATATTTTATTGATTTTTTTACAGAGAGGAAGGGAGAGAGATAGAGAGTCAGAAACATCGATGAGAGAGAAACATCGATCAGTCGCCTCCTGCACATCCCCCACTGGGGATGTGCCCGCAACCCAGGTACATGCCTTTGACCGGAATCGAACCTGGGACCTTTCAGTCTGCAGGCCGACGCTCTATCCACTGAGCCAAACCGGTTTCGGCTAAATACATTTTTCTTATTTAAAAACATTCAACAGCCGAAACCGGTTTGGCTCAGTGGATAGAGCGTCGGCCTGCGGACTGAGGGGGTCCCAGGTTCGATTCCGGTCAAGGGCATGTACCTGGGTTGCCGGCACATCCCCAGTGGGAGATGTGCGGGAGGCGGCTGATCGATGTTTCTAACTCTCTATCTCTCTCCCTTCCTCTCTGTGAAAAATCAATAAAATATATTTAAAAAAAAAACAAAACATTTAACAAAACAATTGCGGTGTTTTTTGGGTGTCCGGAACGGATTAATGGCATTTCAATTCATTGTAATGGTGAAAATTGATTTGACATACGAGTAATTTGAGTTATGAGCTCCGTCACGGAACGAATTAAACTCGTAAGTCAAGGCCCCACTGTATTTTAGGCTATTTAGGATATATTCCTTAGCTATCTTCAAGTAAAATTTTATTTTTTTCTCATTTTTATTTCTCATACATTTTCTGACTTTTCTCTGTTCTTTACTACTTCCTCAGTCATTGGTCCTTGACACAAAAAGTTTGTATCTAAAGGATGTGATTAGGGGTGCATATAAGTTGTGGGGTAGGGCAGTAGTTCAGGGCAGGGTCTGGAGAAATGGTAAGAGTTTATTTGGGGTTGATTGGCCATGATAGACAAATTTAAAGCAGAAACATATATACATTTGTGGGGGTTGAAAAAATAGTGGTTAACTGTATTTTTATTCTTATTCACATAGTTCTTTTATTATTAGGAATTCAAAGCAAATGTTCTTTCCTTAGTCTTCATGCTATTCTCTGATTTAGGAAGTGGAAAAATATTAACTCCATTTTATAGAAAAAAAATCTCCAAAGCTGGGTTCTGGAGAACCAGTGAATAGTAGTGTGGGAACTGACCCACTTAATTTTTCATTTGTTCAACAGGCATATCTTTAAAATAACTGGTATGACTAACATTGTGTCCTGAGTGTATTTTTTAAAGATATGATTTCTCACTTAGAAGATTTACTTTGTATAAAAAAAGTTCTTCCAGCTAAACCCTTTAATGTTGACTAATCACCTGTAAAATGTAGCTAATAATTTTAGCCATACATAATGGTTTGCATCATTATTACCAGACTAAAAACTGGAAATGCTATATGCACCTTAATCAATGTATCAGAAAAATATTAAACAGACATTTTCCTCTTGGATTAGGTTAGAATTTTTCCCTCTTTTCCAGATCCTACACATAGTTATTTCCTGGAGAAAAACAGACTATTTTAATAATTGTCCTTATTAGCATATTATAAGAACTCACTATCTGATAAGTGCAGTCTGACTCATAAGAAAACCAGAATTTCTTGATTTATATTGTATCTTTTGAGATTATTATTTCTTGCTCTGATTTTCTGTTTGTAAAATAGATATAAGCTATCCCTACCTCACAGGGGTGTTGTGAGGATTTGTATTAAAACTGTGTTAAGCTCTTATTATTATTGATAAAAACCAGTCATATAAAGAAAACTATATGTATTCTATTAATATAGCCGAATCTGTTAACTTCAATATTCCAACCCATACATTCTAGAACATCTTAGAAGCAGTCATGTACTATTCAATACTCAATAATTGACAGTATTCCTATTTTTACTTTTTACAAATACTCTAGAAACAACAGTGTTGCCAGAATTCCTATTCTACTATAGCTTAATCATTAGTATTTTTCTTTAGACTTTTCCAAGAAGGATATTAGTTCTTTTTCATTTTGGGGAATAAAACCTTATCAATTTCAGCTTTATTGAAAGTTTTTCCAAACATATTGTTTATACCTAGGGAAAAAAAGAAAATAGTGAAAATATTTTTATTTCTTTGATGTAAGTCATTTAAAAAGTAGATGGGGACAAGAAATGGAGTGGTGATTATAACAGTAATTCATTATGTTCTATTAAAATAGGATTGGAAAGGCTTCATTTAAAACAGAAGAAAACACATATAAATCATGGAAAAAGAATCTGAAAATGTATAATTCCACTAATGTTGATTTGCACAGGCATATATAGTCTTGATGGTGTAACTCAAA